ACCCACCCACCCGCCCCTGCCCATCAAGGGGCAAGGTCATTCTATGTCCTCTGAGGGTGGGTGAGGGTAGAGCCAGGCAGGAAGAACAACCCGAAAGCCTCTGAAGAGGGCAAAGATTCTGTTTACCGACATACGAAACCAGCGGCGAGGCGACATGCATGTGATGGGAGACACGTGATGACAGACCCATAAAAGTACAAGTATGAAGCCAAAAGGAGCTCACCAACAAATGTGAGAGGTTTTGTGGAATGTGTATATGGACCGAACTGTCATTCTTGACTGTATGTGCACCAAAAGCAAAAGACAAAAATAAACCATGCAAAGTTTTCACCATGCAAAGGCAATGATTTGATTGACTGAAAGACAGACGGCCTGGCTGGAAATAATCCCACCACCCTATAAATACTGTTCATATCAACCAGAGCAGACTGAACTTAAGCTACAGTCTTGAACAGCTGTCCTGGGTGGAGTAGTTTACAGGCACCTGTTTAACAGGAGTGGAAAATTGACTGGGGGAAAAAAAACTCAAAACTACCAACATGGGTGGTTTGAGGTGGCTCTTTTGAATGAACATGAAGATGATTCTAACGTTGTTCACATTCATATTCTTGGCACACGCTCTGCGCAAAACTACTAATCTAGTACAAGATATTCCTGAGAAGGAAAAAAAAAAAAACTTTTAATTTCTTTTAGTGTTTTTTTCCACACTATTTCTTAGGAATATCTTGTACTAGTTTAGTTGTTAAAAAAAACAACAAAAATGAAAAATAAATGTTTACTGATATAGCTGCTGGAAAAGTTAGTTATAGCTTCACAAGTGTCAACAATTTTTTTTTTTTTAATGAATGAATGTCAATACTTCAAATGTTAGAACACTCAAATTCATCATCAAAAAAAACAAAAACAAACATCTATTTTCTAAATGTATCCTATTGCAAAAAAATCGGCAATCCGTGTTTCTCATTGTTTTAAATTTGTGTTGACCTCTAAATTTAAATCAAAATATAACACAATTTTCCATTGAGACTTCTCTCTAGTGACGTATGCCAGATTTGTTTAATCATTTGGTCCTCATAAATTCTGCCACCATCCAATCAACAACTGAGACGGGACCCCACCCTAGGGCTGGGCGATATAGCTAAAAAAATTATCAACGATATAATGTTTCATATCGTTCGATATCGATAATTATTGACATTTTTATAAACTTTTTTAAAACAGAGCAATAGAATTTTTATTTTTTTTTAACCACTGTATTTTTAAATTAACCCAATTTATTGAGACAATAAATTGTTTTAACAGTCAAACACACAATACAAATTAAACAAATATCTAATTTGTAATGTTTTATATGCAGATTAAATAGGTTTTAAGGAAACTATTGTCTCGTCTCCCGAGGCCACAGGAGGGCGCAATGAGCAAAATAATGCAGCACATAATGTTAACGCATGGAAATAGCTGTCTATAAAAAAACATGCATTACGTCTAAATTAACTCATATAAATCAAATATAATTTCGTAAATTGCATAAACAGTTATGAACAAAACAGCATCATGTATTTATGCATTGCTTAATACAAAGAGCCGAACTCGCCCATCACGCAGATTGCATTTAAAAACATAAGAGACGCAGTGAAAAGGAATAAACCTCCACAAATTCGCGAATCTAAAAATGCGCTGAATATGTGTTCTGTGTGAATGGCTTGGTTTTGGTTTTCACCTAATCAAGATCTTCTCCGCATTGAGCTTCTATATTTCTCTAATATTTTGAATGCATAACACAGCAGCAGCGCATCTCGTGGGCAAGACTAACAAAACATTAAAATGCAACAACGTCACTTACATCATCACCGCATCTTGTGCGCCACTGATGACGCTCCCTGACCCACTCCTAACATTCAAATGCAAATTTTTAATTCGACTAATATGAATTTTTTTATTCACAATCTCCTCATCACAGGCAGGCACAGCACTCAATTCAGCATGTGTTCGCGTTTGTGTGTGCTGTCTGCGTCACTCATAGCATGTGCCTATATCGTGCACTATATCGAACATTTTTTATATCGTTATCGATATAAAAAAAATCGTTATCGTTATCGGTAGGTGTACCGTCGATAAATATCGATACCGTTTTATCGCCCAGGCCTACCCCACCCTATATTTTTTTCTTTTCTTTTTTTCCCTTGGATGTATATCACAATATGGAAGAAAAGATCTGTTGCTTCTGTTACATAGTGACTTAAAAGAACTTATTTTCTATTATAAATGTGTGGTGTGATACAGGTGTTAAGAAAAAGAAAGAAAGAGAACTCAATTTAACCAAGAACAAAGACTAGAAAATAAAATGAAAGGAGGGACAGAGGAGGAAAAAAGCTTCAGAGAGCCTACTGTGTGGCTCTGGAGAGGTTCTGTGATGCCCCGGTGAGGGTGGCCGTCTGTTACATTTGATCTGTGCTGTGGTTTCGGAGAGCCCTCAATTTGAACAGTGTTTGATCAGAGGACGAGGCTACACGGTGAGACAGGTTATTATCCAGAGTTTGTCTGTCCTGTCCTCTCCCATTACATCGGCCTGAGCTCGGCTTCAGTACGCACACACAACAAGCATGAGGATGTAGTGTCTCTTGAGGCTGTGTGAACTGGTATATACACAGCTCGAGAGGGCAAATGGGGTTAAACCACCTTTGGGAAGCTGTTAAGTAAAATGCCTGTCTTATTTAAGGCTAACGAAGCATTTTCCCCTGAGACTTCAGGTGATCCATGCCTTTACCTTTCAGAGAAAACATTAAATACACCACTAAAACAACTCATCGAACCCTGTCGCATCCCCACAAATTACCTAAAACTAAACCCTGTGTGATGAGAACGACTCCCACTCCACCTCTTCTGTGAATTAAAGTCACTCCTTTTTCTTTACTCTATTTTTCTACGTCTCCATCGCTCTTTCATTCCCCAGAGGCAGCAGTAAACTAAATTATTGAGAGGAAAAAAACTGCTTGGCTAATGGAAGATAAATAAACAACTCATCAGCCCAGACCTGAAGACCAGAGAGTCTGTTAAAAGTGTCTCTTTACAGTCATTGCGTTTATTCTTAAAAAAAATAAAAATAAATAAATAAATAAAAACACTATATAGCAACAACAACAAAGTATGTTCTAACTTTCTGGCCTCTAATAGTGCATAAGGTAGCTGAATTAAATTACTCTGGATGTTAAAGACGTAATGAAAAGGAAGCAGTGACAGTTTTTTCTTCTGTATTATGATGTGCATCCAAGTAAAACGGATTAATGAAAAAGAGAAAATACTTGATTCTATCAATTGATTGTAGATCGGATGGAGGCAGATCTGCAAACTTGCGGTCAATTGTGAAAGGGCCGGGTTTAGACAGACTAAATGATTAGTGAAGTCCAACATATGAAGATATTTTGATTAACAATTATATTAAAGCAAATTAGAAGTGAAACATGCATGGAAGAATCATTCACAATAAGATCAATAACATGCATTAAAAAAAAATATATGGTAAATTTTAATTTCATACCCAATTTAAATTTTTTTTTTATTTTTTTTATTACGAATATGAACTAGGAGTAAAAAAAAAAAAAAAAGAATATGATGCACAATGCTGGATTGTGAACAGTAACATCAATGGAACATTATGTGCTCTCTAATGTAATAACAGTCAGTTCTGTCAGCTTTTGGCTCCACTGAAAATCTGCGGAAATGCAAGAGATTAACAGGTACCCCACCCAAGAAAAAGCAACATTTCAGTGGAAAGGGAGTATGACAGAATCAGTCAGGAGACTATTCAGAGAAACTCTGTTAGGAAGCAGGAAAACTCATTCTGTGTTGGGGAGTAATCTAGTAAGCTTTAGATTAGTCATTGAGACAAGAGTGTGTTTTACATTCAGCAGGGCAATAGAAGACATAACCAATACAGAAATGCTATATAAAGGAAGAGAGACGAGAGAGAACTTCTAGTTTAATCAATTTCTGCATCAAGCCCTTGAGGTCACACATATGGCTTCTCAAGAGGGGAGCACAGCTGGGGCCCAGGTGTGTGTGTGTTTGTGTGAGTGTGTGGTAATGCTAATGCACAGTGATGGGGATTTCCTGATAAAACCGTTCCACTGGGACACTGAGAGAGATACGAAGAGAAAGAGAAAGACTATACCGGACAAATAATGCTGATTCCTGGCAAAAAGGTCTTTAGAATTAAATCAGCACAGTTGCTTACTATGGAATCAGCCATTTCTTCTGATTTTTCAGCATGTAGTGCTTAGCAGTTACACGTACAAATTTCATTTCTCTCAACCCTCGAGAAAGTCTCTGCTAGAGCTGATAGGGCAGTACTGTTATGTCTCTGTGCTACATAACTCCCACCTGAAGCCATAATTTTCCATCATTCAGGGTTTAGCTTTTCCTCTGCTGATCACACAGTGGGTCTCTTCTGAGAATGTAAAGAAAGATCTGGGTCCTACTTTCTAGTATGTCTACCATGTGCTTTTGTTCTCTCTGACACCCACACCACCACAACCAGGCCTGAAATAGAACTGGGCCTCAGCCGGAGCCCTGTGAGCTAACCGTGAGTGTGCAGGAGATAGGAAAATAAATACATTAAGACAGAACAAATGAGTGAATTGGCTCATTAGGGACAAACTGGCTCCAAATGGCAAACGTCAGCAGAACACTGTCTGTGAAGGAGGAAGAGGGGGTTGAGAAAGCTCCAAATTGTGACTAAGTGGTCACATTTGTCCATGCTGGTTCGACATGTCCTGCTGGTGCAACAATTTTGTTACAAGTTTTGCTGGTGCCCCATGTTTTTTTATTATGTGCTGCCATTTTTCATGAAAATCAAATCTGAAATGCCACAACCAAACTGAACAACACAGCATGGACAAATCATCAGCACTGCCCATATGGACTGTGCAGATCAGGACAACATGCAGCACAGAAGAATTTGACCAGTGATGGTCCTGCTCTGGGAATCAGTTTGAAACATGGCTCAAGTATGAATTAGGGCACAATACATGGACCCTGTATAAAGTAGGTGTTAGTTAACTTTTTACAGATTTACATTTTTGTTAATATTGGTAAACGCATGTCAGTATCCCATCTCAAAATCAAATGTTTATTTGCCCGTCTCACCTTCTTTCTGTCTCTCATGGAGCTCCTCCCTCTCACCATGATCTTGCAGCCAGTCTCTGCCTCCAGTTGTTTTGCTGTGAGTCCACGAGGGCCAAGAATTCTCCCTACAAAATTATACTGGAAAAACAAAACGTAAAGAGAGAGAGAGAGAGAGAGATTAGAATGCATTCAGAAAAGCATCTTTTATAGAAAACAGGATGTGTATACACACACAATGCTGCTAAAGTCACTAAGAAGTGGGTCACACTTAAATTTAAACAAATAGTTCTAAATAAATGTGTCACCTTGCCGTTCAAAAACGATATCATTTTAATTAGAACATAAAAGGAGTCAATCAGTTTAGCTGCAACTGTTCCATACAATAAAAGTAAATTGTGACTGAGACAGTCATTCTGCATATTATCTCCTTTTGTGAAAAGAGAACAGTGACAATTCTTATTCAGTTAGGCTGCATTTGCTGAGTGGATATTTTGGCTCTGCAGCAAATCATCTTAGATAAATGGCATAAGTCAACAGGCTTTTCAAAATCCAAAATACTGCCAAACAGGAGCTTTTGCATCCGTTTCGAAACTAAATCTTCTGCCATCGTTTTGTCTGTCTCATCCCACTCTTCTTGTCAGTCGACTCGACTCACCTGATAAATTAAATCTGACTCCTGCTGTTGATCTGTGATGCCACTGTCATTTGGTATGTAAAAATGATTATTATTACTATTAAAAAAATCAAAACGACGGTGCCACGGTGGGCAAATAACGTAACCGGTGTTGCAGCTTAGCAGCGAATATCACAGCAAGCCTAGTGTAAATTGACGTAACCGGTGTTGCGGCTTAACACCGGTATCACCGTCAACACCGTCTATCGCGGCAAGCCTAGTAGGGACTAGGGATGGGTACCGAAACCCGGTATTTAATCTGTCCCAGGGCTAAATTATGAAAGACCGGAGTATCGATAAGCTCTGACGTTAACGGTTCTGCTATCGGTACTGGAAAAATTAATAAAACACACATATATGCATTATCTTGCAAATTCTATCTCACCAGAGTCGCCAGCTGTTTTTCACAAAACGGACAAACAAATTACACTTTGAGCTTAGGGCACATGTCCAATCGATCAAATACACACAAAATATTTCCAAATGGCCGGCTTGGAGAGTATTTACTTAAACACAGTTTATGTCTTAAGTGGAGGAGAACAGTTGGGAGAAAATCCAATGTGTGTCAATATATTGTCTTAAAGTGGCAGACTGGCGCTTGGGCCATCAAAATGCAAATCTGCTCTTAATCTGAATAACGTTATAGCTTTAATAAGCATTAATCTATCAATAAATACAATGAAAACTATGCAGTGTTCATTTACATTTGATTACTTTTAGATTTCTTTTGTAGGCTATTACTTAACTGAACAGTAATGTTAGTAGAACTTCATGGAAGAATTAAAGCACTGTTTATTTCATTTAATTTGTATATTAAAATCTATTCATATATGAATCATGATTCTGTCTTCTAACGATTCTAATGGATTCACAAGTTTTAAAATCAATGTTCAAAAGCAGCGGTTCTTAATACTGTTCCTCGCGTCCCCCTGCTCTGCGCACACACTCTGTATCTCTGCCCCTCTCTCTCTCATTCAGCTCATCTCCAGCAATGAACTGTTCCAATTATACACTTATTTTCACATAGCTATGAGAAGCGTTAAATATGGACGCGAGTGCGGTTGCCATTCTGTATTAAAGCTTTAATCAGGATAAAACTGTATATTAAAAGCTAACAGAATCAGTAGCATTTACAAATAACAGTGTATCTATCTAGTTTGAGACAAAAACAAACAAAAAACATACCATTAAGAGCCGTGCTTGCACAGGTTATGCGCGATCCTCTTTACTAATATTCTTTGGGTCTCAATCGGGCTCAAATTGATAAGCAATATTGACGACGTCATTGTTTACAATACAACCGGAGCACACGCCGCTATGTTGAGGGGAGGGACGATTAGACGCGCGGCTAGAGGCGGTTTAGCCAATCACAACACACTGGGCCAGCTAATCAATCAGAGCCCATCGTGTATTTCTGAGGGAGGG